AGTTCGAAACCAGCCTGAGCAAGAGCGAGACCCCGTCTCTACTATAAATAGAAAGAAATTAATTGGACAACTAATACATATAGAGAAAAAAATGAGCCGGGCATGGTAGTGCATGCCTGTAGTCCCAGCTACTCGGGAGGCTGAGGCAGGAGGATCGCTTGAGCCCAGGAGTCTGAGGTTGCTGTGAGCTAGGCTGACGCCACGGCACTCACTCTAGCCTGGACAACAAAGCGAGACTCTGTCTCAAAAAAAAACAAAAAAACACAAACAAACAAAAAAGAAGTGTTATTAGTAATAGAGGTATGTTAAATGTATAGTGGTATCATAGGAGAAAGACTGATTTGCTCTTTTAGAGATTGAAGAAGGCTTTATAGGTGGTGCTAGAGTTGGAGCTTAATGAACACGAGAACTGGGGAGGACAACGTACACTCTAGAAGGAGGATATGTGCAGAGATGTAGAAGGATGAAATTGCATGGCACTTTCAGGGAACTACAAATAGTTTAGTATTGTCAGAATACAAGATTCATGGGAAGCAGAAGATAGAAGTTTTTTTTTTTTCTCCCATAGGTAATGGGGAACAATTTAGGAATTTAAGCAGAACAGCATTAGATATGCCTTTTTGAAAGATTTAACTTTCACATTGAGGTACATGCTGAATTGGAGAGAGAAGAAATCATTGGCGGGGAAACTCATTAAGAGAACATTGCAAGAGTTCAGGTTGGAAAAAAGAAGAGGCAAAACTTAGTGAAAATGAAGAAAATATATATTTTTAATCTTGTTATATTGATAAGTTTACATTTTGTAGTGAAACAAGGGTGATAGATGTGTTAAGGTTGAGATCCTGATTAAGAAGGATTTCTGAGAATTTGTGTAATTTAGAATTAGATCATTGGAAAGAACATAGGCTGTTATGTCAAACTTGGGTTCAATTGGGCAAGTTAACTGAGCTTTACTTTCTTCTTATTGAGTGATGCGTTTTATTCTATATAGGGCTGTGGTGATAATGAATTAATGCCTGCAGCATAAACAGGACAATGCTTATTGTGGGCTATCATTTTTAAGACAGTGAGTTTTTTTTTTTTTTTCGTTATGTAAAACTGTTAAAATCTTTAAAAAATTATTTTAAATTGTTATAAAATACACATAAAATTTACCATATTGACCATTTTAAGGGTGTAGTGTAGTTCAATGGCATTTAGTACATTTACATTGCTGTGTAACCATCTCCACCATCTATCTCTGGAAGTCTTCATCTTGCAAAACTGAAACTTTGTATCCATAAAGAACTCCCCAATGTCCCCTTGCCCAAACCCTGGCAATCACCATTCTACTTTCTATGAATTTTACTACTCTAGGTATGTCATATGAATGCATTATCAGTATTTATTTTTTTGTGCCTGGCTTCTTTCTTTTTTTAATATAGCCCTTTGTAAAGCACAATCTGGCTTATTTCATTTAATATAATGTCCTAAAGATTTATTCATCTTGTAGCCTTTTTAAGGCTGAATAATATTTCCTTGTATGTATATATAATATATTGTTTATCCATTCATCTGTTGGTAGAAATTTGAGTTTTTTCCACTTTTTGGCTAGTGTGAATAATGATGTTGCTATGAACATGGATGTACAAATATCTCTGGTGAAAACAGTCTTTTAAACTTATAAATATAATCATATGTCCTTGTGAAGTAGCTACTATTATTACATTCATTTTCAGATAAGGAAAATAAGGTATAGAGAATAATAAATAACTTATTTGCCTAGGTTCACACTATGTATTAAATAAATCAATTTTAACCTTTTTTTCCAATCATATTTAATCTAAACCCTGTTAGTAAGGTGTCTGGCTCTTTCCTAAAGTTTTCCATGTACCAATTCGTGGGGAACCAGTTTTAATTTCTTCCAATTGTTATAAATGTATGTTATAAATGTAGTTATTTCAGAATCATAGGTCCTATTTAACCTGGCATATAATAATTTTTATTAATTCCCTTAAATGCATCCCAGATTTTTATGGTTACTTAAGCTTTGGAATCTCAAAGTATTGATATCCTGACTAAACTTAACCTTGATATATTTTTATTTTATTTTATTATTTTTATTTTAGCGTATTAAATGTCTCCTTAGTGTTTTTTGGTGGACTAATATTTCTGCACTAGCAAAGAGCAAGATATTCTATAGATTGTATTTATTATTTTTTCTCTGTGAACTACTGTGAATTTGGCTGTTTTTCTTGAATTTCTAAATAAAAAGAAAAGTGCTTCTTGTCATATTGTTATATTCCTTATAAAAATTCCATATTTTTTTTCTAGTTGAAAAGAAGCCTAAGAAATAAAGTCATCTCTCTAGACCATAAAAATAAAAAAAGTGTCCATGGGTGTCCTGTCACTTCTAAGTCATCACCAGAAAGGTAAGATACATGTTTGTGTGACACTGAATGGACTTATAAATAGTGTGATTCATGTAAGCATTTTGGATTCTCAGTTACCACAATGCTTAAAATAGAGAGGTTGAACTCAAGTATTCTCTAAGATTACTTCCAAGCTCTTTCTGTGAGTCTGAGTCATCTTAACTCCTTGTTTTTGTGCACATGGAGCATCTTGATAAGCTTTTGCTGATAATGCAGGAGTTATAGTTGATTGATAATGATGCTTGAAGCATTTGTGGTCAGCAGTGAAAAAGATGATCCATTTAGCAACTATGGTCCTATAGTCATAGTATTAATGAATTATGTATATAGTGGAATGAAATATCTAAAAGATTCAAATTTCAAATTGCAGTAGTCATGGGAAAGAATTTAGAGCATTTTAGAATTAGACATCAATAAATGATTAGAAAGTTGTTATTCTAAAAACGGGTATTGAGTTTTCTTTTATAGCATAGTGAATGAAAAGAAAATGACAATAACAAAGTAAAAATTATAATTACTGAAAATTCACACATATTTTGAAGACTAAGTGTAGTCCTTGAATTTATGTAACAGTACTTCTATAAGCTACTTTGTCTTCTTCTACCTTTTCAAGTAAATTGTCTGTAGGAAATATAAAAATATATTGATGATTCTATAGCAATATATGAGCCTTTTGACTTTCTGTCATTCTGTGGAGAAATTGTTAAGGTAAATGAGGCAGCTCTATAGAAGCAATGATGATGCTCTGATCCTCAGAACAAACCATAAACTCAATTTGTAGACTTGGTTTTTAAAAAAATTCATATCAAAAATTATATTTGATTTGAGAGATGGAATGCTAGAGATAAAGGGAATTATATATATATGTCACTGAGACAGGGTCTGTCTTTGTTGTCCAGGCTAGAGTGCAGTGGTGTTATCATAGCTCACTGCACCCTCAAACTCTCAAGCTCCTGGGCTCAAGTGGTCTTCCTGCCATAGCCTTCCTAGTAGCTGGGACTACAAGTGCACACCACCATGTCCGGCTAATTTTTTCTATTTTTTTGTAGAGGTGGGGTCTTAATATGTTGCCCAGGATGGTTTCGAATTCCTGGCCTGAAGCAATCCCCTGCCTTGGCTGCCCAAAGTACTAGGATTACGGGTGTGAATCACTGCACCTGTCCAGGAATCAAATTTTTTAATTGAAAAAAAATTCAACCACATTTTCTGAAAGGTTTGCAAGATTGTTTCATTTTTATGGGAGAGTTACCCTGCAGACTTTGCATGCTTCAAAACATATCATTCCAGCCTCACTTTTCTTTCCTTTTTTTTGAGACAGAGTCTCACTTTGTTGCCCAGGCTAGAGTGAGTGCCCTGGCATCAGCCTAGCTCACAGCAACCTCAAACTCCTGGGCTCGAGTGATCCTTCTGCCTCAGCCTCCCAGGTAGCTGGGACTACAGGCATGAGCCACCATGCCCGGCTAAAAATTTAGCTTTTGTTAAGTATTTTTGGTGTTGGCATTACATGTTGCTTGCTTTGGAAATCAGATGAAGAGTCAGTAGAGTTGAAATTTTGATATAAAAGTTAAATCCTGACCAATAATCTCAACTTAGAAAATTGTCTTTTTTCTGTATTAAAGTAAAGCTGTGACAGGGTTAAGCAGTTGTGAGCAAAGCCAGTGATTTCCTCAGATGTTGGCTTTGACTTTTTTCAATATGCAGGAAAGTGCTGAGTTGAGATTCTGTTAATAGAACCAATCCCACACTACTTAGAATGCATGCAGAGTTGATTTTGTCCAGTACATTTATTTATTGTTTTTAAGACAAGGGTCTCACTGTTGCTCAGGCTGGAGAATTTAGTGGCATGATCATAGCTCATTGCAGCCTTCAACTCCTGGGCTGAAGCAATCCTTCTACCTCAGTGTCCCGAATATCTGGGATTACAGGCACATGCCACCATGTCTGGCTAATATCCAGGAAAAATTTAATAGCAAGTATTAACTTTCGGTAGTTATCTCTAGTTATCACTTTGGTTGTAGAAAATTTCAGTCAAGTTCCTTAGGAACACTTAATTTGAATTATCATAGTATTTTATTTGGTGTCCCTACCAGAATGAGAGCTTCAAAATTAGGTATGTAAATGATTTGATTTGATTCTGTATATAAGTGAATTTTCTTATTTTTAAAAAGCCTTTCTCATTTTTAAATTAAAATTATTCCTACTACTATTTCAACCTTTTGTGATCAGCTTTAAAAATCTGATATATTTTTAAATATAAAGCTGTGATAGTTTTAAAAATATGTATATGAATGAAACCCTATTCATAATCAGATTGTGGGAGAATTCTTTGTTATCTGATTTTTATTTTTCAGAGATAGCATATAATAGGTTCATAGTCTAATTGAAATACAAATCATATCTATGAAAACACAAATTATTACCCGGTCTGCAATTGTAATCCAATTTAAAATATGTAAATATTTTAGTGTGATATTAAATATAATGAACAATTGATCAAAATCTAAGTGAATTTATTTCCCCTTGATAACATACCCAGATATACTCCAGGTTATCCTTCAATAGTGACAAACCTGGAGCTAGGCATTAAAACAACTTTTATTGTTATTCAGAGTTAATAATATTTTAGTTAATTCCCCTCCTGTTCTATTATAGTTATCGTCAGTTTGTCTCAACGTGTTTATTTCATTTTTGTGGTGGTGTAGTCCCTCCCCTGGTTGGCGAGAGTAATGTTTCTTTATCTGTAGAAAATGAGGCTCAAGGACAAGGCATTCCACTATTTTGTAAATATAGCCAGAACCTTATTAATACAACATGATCAGTGGGATGCAAAAAATTCAGTAGCATAAAATGTGAAGGTTTCATTTACCGTGAGTTTAGTGAAATTGAAATGATGGAGGGGAACTAGTTGGCCAGTAGTTCTGAGAGTCTAGCTTGGGAACCAAATCATTCCCAGTCCTGGTTGCAGTTTGATGTAAACAAATAATAGAATTCACTGTAAGAAGTGTTATTAGTGGCCGGGCGTGGTGGCTCACGCCTGTAATCCCAGCACTCTGGGAGGCCGAGGCGGGCGGATTGCTCGAGGTCAGGAGTTCGAAACCAGCCTGAGCTTATATTCCTTAGCCTATACATTTAGTAATAACTTTTATGTTTGCTTTTGAGTATGCGTAATAATGGTGAGGATTAAGGGTTTTTCCCCCCCCCATATTATATATCGGCCTGGTTGGGTCTAGCCCATTTTTTGAAAGATAACTTTTTTCATCCAAGTTTTTTTTCATTCTATTCTTTATTTTTTCCATATATTATTATAAAAATACACTAAATAGCACCTAGGAAGCTATTCATATTATCAGTCAAACATTTGAAAATCCACCTATTTGATTCTCCATTAACCATTCACCATATTTAACAACCATATTCCATTCACATTCCATTTTTCCATGCCACAGTTAATTATACTACTGAATTTCTTGATGTCTTTAAAAGTTCAATTGCACGATATTAAGACACTTCCCTATCAAATATTTTTAACCTTAGTATAATTACTAAAAACTTTAATATTTATTGTGTTAGTCTGTTCTTTTATTTATTATAAATGCCTACATAAATGGTATGCCACAAAGCTTTAATGTTCTTCGTGCCAAAATTTTGATAGTCACACACATCGTCCCACTAACCCCATGCCCACTGAGGGTAAACTGAAAAAATGATGCATATCACCCCCAAAGTTTCTTTGAGGCCCATTTCTTCCCCAACCGCAATTGGTTTACCCGTATCCCTCATCGCCTCTCGTTACTGATATTTTCTCCGTCAATAGATTAACTTATGCTGTATTATTAAATTTCATATAATAATCGTGTATTCATTATTTTTTTTTTTTTTTGACGACAGGAGTCTCGCTTTGTTTGCTCAGGCTAGAGTGAGTGCCGTGGCGTCAGCCTAGCTCACAGGCAACCTCAGAACTCCTGGGCTCAAAGCGATACTTCTGTCTCAGCCTCGCGAGTAGCCTGGGAGCTAACCAGCATGTGCCCCAATGCCGGCTAACTTTTCGGCCCTTATATATAATATATTCATTTGGCCGCAAAGTTACA